GAACAATTTCACCCTTCAACTATTTAAGAAGTTCAATTCAGTCATCCAACTATTTGACAAGAGCAATTTCATCCTTCAACTATTAAACAAAAGCAATTTCACCCTTCAACTATTTTTGAAGTTCAATTCGGTCATCCAACTATTCGACAAGAGTAATTTCATCCTTCAACTATTAGACAAGAGCAATTTCACATCTCTAACTATTTTTGAAGTTCAATTCGGTCATCCAACTACTAGTCAAGAACAATTTCACCCTTCAACTATGTAAGAAGTTCAATTCGGCCATCCAACTACTAGTCAAGAACAATTTCACCCTTCAACTATGTAAGAAGTTCAATTCGGTCATCAAACTATTAGACAAGAGCAATTTCATCCTTCAACTATTGTAGAAGTTCAATTCGGTGATCCAACTATTTAGTAAGAGCCTTTTCATCCTTCAACTATTGAAGAAGTTGAATTCGGTCATCCAACAATGAATTAAGAGCATTTGCATCCTTCCGCTATTGGACAAGCTCAATTCGGTCATCCAACTGCTAGTCAAGAACAATTTCATCCTTCAACTATTGGAGAAGTTCACCGAACATTGAATTAAGAGCAATTTCCTACTTCATCTATTTGACAAGATCAATTCGGTCATCCAACTATTCTTAAAGAGCAGTTTCATACTTCAACTATAGGAAAAATAAAATTCATCCCCCAACTATAATTTTAAAGCAACTTCATCCGTCAACTACTTAAAAAAGATTATTTCGGTCATCTTACTATAATGGAAGAGCAATTCTGTCCTTCATCTATTGGGAAAGTACAATTCCATCATCCATCTAGTTCTCAATAGCAATTTCATCCGTCAACTATTGGAAAAGTTTAATTCGGTCACCCAACTTCAAATAAAGAGAAATTTCATCCTTTAACTATTGAAAAGTACAATTCGTTTCCCAAACTATAATTTCAGATTAATTTCCTCTGTAAAATCTAAGGCTAATTTCATCCTTTAACTATTCAAAAAGAACAATTTCCATCTTTAACTATTGGAAAAGTTGAATTCGATCACCACAGCGATTCGAAAATTACAATTCGGTCATCTAACTATAATTTATTAGCAGTTCCGTCCTTCCGCAATTGGAAAAATACAATTCGGTCATCCAACTATAAATTGAGAGCGATTCCATCCTACAACTATTAGAAAAATACAATTCAGCTGTCCATCTATAAATTAAGAAAAATTCCATCCCCTCAACTATCAAAAAAGTTCAGTTCGGTCATCCAACTATAGTTTAAGAGAAGTTTCATCCTTCAACTTTGTATCGATAATTTCATCCTCAAACTTTTTAGTAATGTAAAATCGATCCTTTAACTTTCTTGATCATCAATTTAATTCTTCAAGTTCTTGTAATGTTAATTTCATTCTTCAACTTTTCAATATCCTCAATTTCATCCTCATTTAATTTTCTAATATCCTGAGTTTCATCCTCAATCCCTTTAATAATTTAAAATACATAATTCATCTTTTCTAGATCATCAATTTTAAGTCTTTCAATTTCTTAATAATGCTAATTTCATCCTTTAACTTTTCAATATCCACAATTTCATCACCAAACTATTTCATAATATAAAATCCATCAATTTAATCCTTAACTTCTTATAATGTAAATTTCATCATTCAACTTCTAGTATCTCAACATCCTTCAACTTCTTAATAATGTGAATTTCATCCTTTAACTTTTCAATATCCACAATTTCATCCTCGATCTATTTAATGATGTAAAATCCATCCTTAAGCTTTTCTAGATCATCAACATAATCTTTCAATTTCTTAATAATGCTAATTTCATCCTTTAACTTTTCAATATCCTCAAACTATTTAATAATAAAAAATTCATCCTTCAGCTTTTCTAGACCATCAATTTAATCCCTAACTTCTTATAATGTAAATTTCATCATTCAATTTTCAGTATCTCAACATCCTTCAACTTCTTAATAATGTGAATTTCATCCTTCAAATTTTCAACATCAACAATTTTATCCTCAATCTATTTAGTAATGTAAAATCCATCCTTCAACTTTTCTAGATTGTCAATCTGATCTTTCAATTTCTTAATAATGCTAATTTAATCCTTTAACTTTTCAATATCCCCAAACTATTTAATAATGTAAAGTTCATCCTTCAACTTTTCTAGATCATCAATTCAATCCCTCAACTTCTTATAATGTTAATTTCATCATTCAACTTTCAGTATCCTCAACATCATTTAACTTTTCAATATCTGGAATTTCATCCCCAATCTATTTAATAATGTAAAATCCGCCCTTCAACTTTTCTAGATCGTCAATTTAATCTTTCAATTTCTTAATAATACTAATTTCTTCCTTTAACTTTTCAATATCCTCAAACTATTTAATAATGTAAATTTCATCCTTCAACTTTTCTCAATCATCAATTTAATCCTTCACCTTCTTAGTAATGTTAATTTCATGAACATACGCTTTCATCCTTCGTTTTTTTTCCTCACAGTAAGATGAAAAATGGTGAAATTTTCACATTTGNCATCAATTTAATCCTTCAACTTCTTAGTAATGTTAATTTCATGAACATACACTTTCATCCTTCGTTTTTTTTCCTCACAGTAAGATGAAAAATGGTGAAATTTTCACATTTGCTAATTAATAAAATGTTAAAAAACCGGATTTTCCAAAATTTCACCTAAAAAACAGTGCAAGCCTAATTCCCTCTTGAAACAATTGTGCCTCGTTATATCATAGTCACAAAAATATCAAAAATATGTTTCCTCCTTTGGTTTCAAGTTGTAGGATTTTACCATCCCTATATTTTGTTTTTCTCCTTTTTTCATTTCATTATTTAAATTTTTGTCATAAGTATTTAGTATTTTAAATTTACTGCCCTATATTCAAAACATTAACCGCTTTCCAACAGCCATAAACTGCCATCTCTCCCTCTCTCTGTGTCTCTCTTTTTTACCTCCCTTTTTGCACTCAAATCATACTCGTACCATAACTTTCCCTTCTCAATCACCAATCTGGCGGCGCTTGGTCCTGCACCAGGCGTCGCCACCACCACTACCGCTCCCTCCACCGCCAACGAAGTTCCAATGGCAGACTTGACTGCCATTGTTCCTTATCATGACCCTGGTGATGCTATTACCTTCATTGATCAATCATCGTTCTTAGTAGAAAACCCGACTCTCGGTCTCCCTGAATATCCTGATTGTGAACCACATACTGGATTCGATGACATTGTTGATGCCAATGATCCGTTTGTGGATCCAGTTGTTTGGGACTTGGGTTATGGGAATGATGAGAATCTGGTTTCAAATTATCTGGCTAAACCCTCTGAATTTCAAGGAGAAGGCAGTAGCCATGAGAATGGAAATAATGTTGACAGTAATGTACAAAATTCAGATTCTGTATATCCGATGCAACTTTCAGATTCTCTGGTCTTTGCATCTCCTGATAATTGCATTTGTTGTCAAATACTTCGTGAAATTACTCATGTTAATGGTGTGTCCAAATAAAGTGATATTTAAATATTTTCTGCAATTTTTTTCTCTTCCAATTCTGCACTTGTTGTTCAAAGACTTTGAGAAATTACTCGTACTAATGGTGTGTAGATGTAGAGTGAAAATGGGTTGATTTTTTATTTTATTTTTTTCCTTTACAAATTTTGTACGTTTCAATTGGAATGGATTCTTACCACCCATTATTGTGTGTTTTGATAGGCATAAGCATGAAAAGGCTTGAGATTCATGGAAGAGTTGGAATGGTCATTCATGCGATTCTCGAGAAATATGATTGTGATCCCTCTTTTCAGAACCATGAGTTCAAAGTGTTTGAGTAAGTTCTTTCAAATTCATATGAATCATTTAGTCGTTGATTATCGATAAGTTTAAGTTTTTATTTTCGCGTTGTATTTTTAGTTTTTGCACGAAAAGTATCCATAGTGTGAAAGAGTTTCTAGTTCAGTATTATGAAGATTGTAAAAAAGAAGGCTATGTTACGTTGCAAGATCCTCTCTCGACTTTCTACGAAGCCCTGTGTGTGGGAGTGAATGAAACTGAAAAATTTGACGATTTTATTCCATTATCTCCAGATGATCCAGGTTAGTCGAAATCTCTAGGTTCTAAAATGTAAATTTAATGTGCCATGACTGCATTTTTAGTTCGATTTTCTCACATGATTGTGATCATAGATACAAGCAATTACCAAATGAATCATCAAGAAATGTCGATGCAACATGAAGATGAAAGAAATATAGAGCAATCTACGAAGATCCCTCTTGCAGCGCAGGTTAGGCCATTCCATTTTCATTTCAAATTTCAGCGACTGGTGATAATTGACATGATTATGGCTTATCAATAGTTCCTAATCCAAAATCCTCCTTCCAATTCCAATTCCAATTCCAACTCCGTCAGCTTCTAGATATCTGTCAAACCTTTAGCACATCGACCATTTATCTGGACGATGAATTCAGATCACATTGTTACATTATCATGCTGATTAGGATATAAACTTCATAAGTTTAGGGATGTTATTTAGGCCATAGATTACATTTCGCAGGAAATATACTATCATTTTCGTCCATTATGTAGTAAGCTAAACTTCCACTTTTGAGTATATTGTAATTTCTCGTTGCTGATGAATAGTGCAGAGGGTAAGAACAGGAAACATGAAATTGAAGGACGTTATAGGATATTTTGATCATCCGATTGAAGATGCAGCCAGGAAATTGAATGTATGTCCCACAGTGATGAAGAAGATATGCCGCAGAGACGGCTTGCCAAGGTGGCCTTACAGAAAGGTTTCTACCTTCCTCGCACCCCACACGGCCACCCCTCTATCTCATTATTGAAAGTTCTTATATTCTGAAACATGTTGTTCCCGGTTGATTTGCAGGTTAAGAGTATCAAGAAGAAAATATTGGAGAAAAATGAGATTTTAAATTCTGCCAGGGGTGATGAAGAAAGGGAACATGCTGAGGCAGATATACACAAGTTTCAGGAAGAACTTGCTAAGATTTATGGTATTCATTCATCGTAACTTATAATTTAATCCAGCAGAAGATAATGATTTTTTAAGTTAGAGAAAGTCGTTGATGTAAATTTTTATATCGAGCAGTAAATATTCTTATTCCAATAGTTGGTAAATCAGGAGAGAAAGTATCATCTCTTGACATAAATATTGTGCACAGAGATTAAAGTTATGTACGAATTTTGTTGCAGTTACTGGTGCAAATACATCTTACATGAATTTTATACTATCTAGGCATTCTCGTCAGACTAGACCAAGTCGACAGGAGTTCAAGTCTACTCTAGTCATTCTCTTCGAATTTTCCGAAAAAATTCCCAATTAGAAGTACTCAAAATTGAGACTAACTCAATAAACTTTATCCCACGAACTTTAGTAACATGTAACTATTATACATGAAGACATGTTTGCAGCAAAAAGGGGAAAATTATTAATGGATTAAAGAATGAGTAGAGATAGAAGTAGACCTAGGAGTTTTATTGAAGGCATGACTTAACTAAGAATAATTTTTTTATTTTTTTTTTTAGAGCAAACAATCGCAATATATTAATTCATAGCATCACATACTTCAAATGAAATTGAAAATGGAATACGACTCGTCATGAAAGTTTGAATTTCGAGAAATTATATTTCACCAACAACACCATCCTCATGTATTAATTATTCAGAATTAATTATCATACGACAAGTCAACAGAATATTTGTAACTGTCTATCGGACTATTGATTAACCAAGAACACAATCCTCATCTTTCACCACCCTTACTAGTGAATCCAAATTGCTCCACGAGTCAAAATAAGAAGTGTGTATGGACATGTGCAATCGAATATTCAATAACAATCACAATTGATATACAATAATAATTGAATGCTTGCGATCTAAATTCACCAGCATATCAAGATGAATTGTCATGATTAAGTAATCGAAAAATTGAACTCGTAATTTTATAATTTGAGCAAGTAGTTTAACAAAATCTACATTCCTAGTGGAAGGTAGGCCGACATGGGATCATCTAGTTGGTCCACATAATGGGTGTATTAGCCCACATATATTTCCATGAATTCTTTCTTAAAAAGTTGGAGATTCAATATCAACATTTGTAATCGAAGGTCTAATGACTAACTTGTGTTGTAAACAAGAAATAAATAGATAATCATTAAGTAAAATAATCATCTGGTTCTTTAAATGATGTCTTTGTGAATTGTTTATTATTCGACGCACCATTATAACTCTTGAATGTCATAGTCGATCATGTCAAAGTATAAAACTTATTGGGTCAACGAACTTGTGGTTCGTGATACTGTTTCATTCAACCATTTTTATAAATATATAATACATTACATATAGAAGTGCATGAAGTTTTTCTTTTATTTGCTTTTAGCCAAATACAAAAGAAATTATACAAAGATATTCAATAGTATTTTCTTATATCATCTCAATGTGATATTCATTGCAGCTTGATTTCTTGCACTTAAATCTTCGATCCGAGCTTGGAAACTTCAAATCTTGTTGTAGAATGCCTTGTTCGCCTCTTGCTAGACTTCTTCAATGATAAAAAATAATGTTCCTCGCTTTCTGGACCTTTATTAGGTTATAAAAGATGTAAAGATACCAGTCCATACATAGTCGAACCAAGAAAAAGGAAACAAAATATTTTTCCCTGATTTCATAAGAGATCGCTCCTAGTTGAAGGTGGGGCGTGCACCTCTAAGGCCTTATTGTGCTTCAGACGGTCATGGTACAGGTCCAAGTATGCGCCTAGTAGAAACTAGAGCACGCGTGCGTTTTCATCTCTGAGTAGCCATCAGTATTTTTGTCATAATTTTCTCTTTCGATAGCCAATTTAGACAATCCAAAGTAAGTTAGAAAGCTAACTCAAAGGGATACAATTATTCTTGAAATATCATTTTTCAATTTGAACGTTTGCTATGCCAAAAACGAGTCTCAATCTGAGGCTGAAAAATCGAAGCATAACTTTTTGAGCTGGAAATTAATGTGTGAGAGTATTTTGACTATATTTTAGCCCTTCAACTTCTTTTTTCATCCAATTGACCCCTAGAACTCTCGAAACTTCATTGTGAGGTCTGACACAACTTTTGAGTATTTACAATTTAGTCTCCCAACTTTACATACACACACACACACCATAATTCATCAAAATTATCAATAAACACTCTAACTTAAATGTCACACCCCATTCATATAGATAACCATACACTAAATTCTATCAAAATCCCCTATTATTATTATTATTATTATTTTTTAAGGTCTCTCCAAAAGTATATTCGANACACACACACACCCCCCCCCCCCCCCAACTCGTCAAAATTATTAATAAATACTCTAACTTAAAGGCTCAAACAAGTATACAAAATATACTTATCAAACACCACAAATTTGAATATTTGTTTGTCCTCAAACAAACTATAGTCTAACTCACAATTGGTTAGATAACCTGTTGTTGGTCTCATGATTGAAATATTCGTGTCAATATGAAGAATAGTTTCAAAATCATATAGAAAAAGCAATCTCTAACCATTTAATGCAAAATTCAACTTGTGTGTATTTGAAGACTTATGTAACATATCACAAACTCATACTTGGTTCAATTTCCGACCCTTTATGGTCAAATGCCTCATTTGTTCACTCATGAGATACACACTTCCAAACTTATAATTTTTACTCATTTATTGAAGGTGTGATCCTAGGCTAAATTTCAGATGATCATACTCCTCTCTCTCTCTCTCTCTCTCTCTATAGTTTGAATAGATTTCACTAGTAGCAGTTAAACACTCCAATAATTAAGGATTCTCCTATATTTCAATTGCTTCAACCTCTAATACTCAACTAGGCTAATTATCTCTTATTAATGGTCTAGTTTTTTCAAACAAATGTTTGGGGTTTAACCAAAGTATTTAGTACATCTTCTATTTCATGCACTTACTTTTT